TTTAGGTTCGCCGTAATTTTGAAGCGACCATTGACTGGCTTCACGAACATGCATGCTCTAGAAGTTATGGACTTGGTAAGTCAAAGTATACCTTCCTATCGTATATGTTTTACCGTCTCCTACTCTGTTAGGAACAAAGCTGCCATGGGATCCGCAATATCTAATTGAATCTTTGTCTGACTCGACGATATACAATGCCTACTATACGGTTGCTCACTTATTGCAGCAAGGATCGTTGGATGGTAGTGTTATTGGACCCGCAGGAATAAAGTTTGTTTAATAATATCTCTTCATTTTACTTTTTTGAAGTGATTGTAATAATGAAAATAGTTTGATCAATTATCGGTATACAATATGTCATGCTTTCTTATTCAGGGCAGAACAAATGACCGAACCAGTGTGGGACTATGTCTTCCTTGGGGGACCCTACGACGCTGCCACGATGCCAGTACCGGAAGAAAAGTTGAAGGCGCTAAGGAAGGAGTTCCTATATTGGTATGTGGTCGCCGTTTTAATTGTTTCTAATAAGCTGTTTACATTCTATTCGTCTGATTCTCAGAAATTATTCAGCAAGCAGCAGCGAGCAAATGCTCTCTTTTTTTGGGATTCCTTTGCAATTTGATATTGATTATGCATTATAGGTACCCAATAGACATGCGAGTTTCTGGCAAAGATCTTGTCCAAAATCATCTGACATATCTGCTGTACAATCACGTGGCAATATGGCCAGATCAGCCCGAAATGTGGCCGAAGAGTATTAGGGCGAATGGACATCTGCTCCTGAACAATGAAAAGGTACATGAGTGTTTTTTGACGCTTTTCTATGTTCTTTTGATCCCTTTTTCTCAATTGTATTCAATGGTTCATTTTTAAAATGGTTCCATGTTGTATTTTCTTGTAAACTAGAAGAGAGACCGTATTTAAGCTTACTATGTATTCATGTTACATTAGTATGCTTCTTCATCGTTACACTTCTTTCCTGTTCTCTTTTTCTTTTTTTCACGATTTTAAAATAGGTGTACGTGGTCACTTCACTCCGCAGACATGTAAGCGTGCAGAAAGTCCTAGTTTATATGTTATTTGAGATATGAAATGTTTTTGTTGAGTCCTTTGTGGACCAGCTGTTAAAACGTCCTTTTTAGATGTCGAAGAACACTGGTAACTTCATGACTTTGATAGATGGAATTGAAAAGTTCTCCGCTGATGGAATGCGACTCTCCCTTGCGGTGAGCCATCATTCACTCCAGTCTGATACAGATCATTTTACGATTGTTTCTCTCTCAGGATGCTGGAGATGCTGTTGA